TATAAAACTAACAAACTTTCTATTTTAGAAATGTATTATATTTTAATAATTAAGAACTAGGATGAATTGAAGTTCACGATCACGATTAAAACAAAGGAATTAACACCACTTAGACAAAATTTAAAGCGATTTATACCAAAGTTAGATACTTAATTCTCCTAACTTTAATTACTTTTGTAATTTCTGTTTTTATTGGCATGTTTTCATTCATTCCTTATTATCAATTGAAAGAAACAAGCAGCTCTTCGCTTGCCATTCGTCATTTGCAGACGAACGACAACCCAGAACTCACCACGTGGAGGTGGCTGCTTCAGAGTTCCACCAAGAGTTGGAAAGAATGCAACTTTATAAGCGACTGACATCACTTGTCCAGTTTCATTCGTCCTAACTCACACAATGAAAATATTTATAATTACCTCTGAATACTTCAAATTCATCTATTCGAAACTCACCGTATCGTCACTATCTAAACTAATTGATACAATATTACAACAACTAGTAATAATGAAAGAAAGAAAGCCACTAAGATGCCAGGTCGTAATAAAACGCACGTTAGGGCCACAAAATTTACTTCAAACTCATACTGAACCTCAATAAACAAAGACAGAAAATTCTCGCCCCGCACGAAATTTAATAAAACGGGACACAGAAAGANGACACTCGGTAAGTAATCCTACAATTTTTTGTTTATAGCGTAGTTTATACGGATTATTCCCAAAAAATATATACGTATTTTGGAAATGTTGAGTCGGATTAGTCTAGAATCGATTAATTTTATGGAAGAAAATCTTTCAAACAGCCGTAGTCCGTAAACTTGATACGTGTCGGGTTGTGATTGGAAGGATTCGTAAGAAAGCGGATTCCTAGAGAATGGAACGTATCTCTATCTTATAGGGAGGTCGACTGTATAATATTATCTACATCTATATATATACTTGTATATTAGAAAGGTTATGGCCGAAGTTTTCATCTCTAAAACGTGAACGTCGAACGTTGAGCGCCGCCATGTTGTAAGCCTAGAAGTTTGACAATGGCGTTTGGAACGTCGAACATGGTTCCAATGACGTTCAAACGTCATTATCAAACGGCGTGTCTAGGCTTACAGGATGGCGGCGCTCAACATTCAACGCTCACGTTTTAGAGATGAAACTTCGGCCACAACCTCTCTATTAATTAACATAGGGCTAATTAATCCAAAATGAAAATCAAACTCTGAATGCCAATTTTTACAAAATTTAAAATTAAAATGGTCCTGGGAATATAAAAGTACAGTAAAGTAGTTCACTGACCATTTACAGAAGAAAATGTTGCATACTCTTTGTCATAATGGAAATGTTGTATATGTAAAACTGTATAAGTGTATGTACTATTTGATAAACCGATCAGCCGAAGGGAAATTCTTCCCGGGAGTTCTTTTATGGGAAACTGGCCCATATTTAGGTGTTACGAACGTGAAGAATATCCGGTAAACTTCACATGACCAACTTGTTGGCAAGGCACGAACTCATGACCAGCTACCAATGTTTAATAGTTTTATCCAGTACGCCACTGGTGGGCCGCTAGCGATTTGAATGTCGCAACTTTGTACTTGTGGAGGTTCTTCGAATACTATGACACATACCTTAATGTCTCTGAGAACCAAACTTTAGTACACAAATTTACTTTATTTAGGAATGATTGTACTAGTCAGTTTAAATACAAGAGTAACTATTTACGGAATAAATTTAACTTTTTTCACTGATATAAAGAATAAATCACATTCTTAGCTCAAGTTACTTTCAATCCACAATAGTACTGTGTGATGTATCGATAACAGAACCGTTGATGTTCCATAGCTATGAACAACAATTCCTACTATTAGGCCTATTATATGCGTAAGTTAAGCTAGTTATTAGTTAAGAATTTTTCAGCCAACAGCCAATTAGATGAAAAATTCTTATTGCACAGTTGTGTTAGTAAGACCAAAGCTATACAAGGTGGAGAAGCGAAAAATAAGTAAACCAAAGTATGTAACAGACTGTAGTATAAATGAAAATATATATTTTATTAGCAGATTTGATAGATATTATTTATAATATTTTTAATACGCGTGCTTTATGAGAAATAGTAATGAGAAATAATTAATTATTATTGTTATATAAAGTAAAAGAATAAAGTTAGTTTGTCCTAATTTAATGACATTCTTCAAAATTTTTAGGTACGTACAGTATAATAAGTCCTCGCTTGACGGCATTTCGTTATAGCGTTTAATTGCGCTTAATTGTAATATTTTAAAGAGTCGGGCTAAATGAAGATTTTACTATTTATTAGCACTTACAATTCTTTTATATATATATAAAACCAGGGCCGTGGCGTGCTATGATGTAAGAGATAGATGTGGCAGCATCAGGCGGTGGTATAAGCGGCATTTAAGGGGTGGCATAAGCAGCGTTTAAGAAGCGGCATTTCGAAGACTTGCATCATACTAAGAAAATCTACCGCACGACCGTGTATAAAACTCATCTCTACTCTCAAAATTAAGCTCTTTGCCATTTTTATAATACAGTACAGTAGAACCTCGAAAACTCGGCTCTCGATAACCCGGCACTCCGGATAACTTGGCCACACCCTGGCAGGGCAAAAAATCCTTAGTTAATTAATTTTCATTATAGACAGCTTTATAAAAGTATAAAAGCTCTCATAAAGTATTTTTCTGAGGTCTGTCTTATCAGGTAAATTACTGTACACAGTGTATTCATTAATTTTCATTTTCATGTAGTAAAGGCTCTATGCCTTCATAAAGGACGTACTTTTCCTTTGTTTAAGGGTATTTGGGCAGTTTATTCTCTGTTGTATTCTCAAGTAAACAATACATACAAGTACAGTACAGTATTTTCTGAGGAAACACTCGTANTACTGCTGTGGTATCAGCCTAGATATAAAGGGCGCCTTCGACCACACATGGTGGCCCATTCTACTAGATACATTACAAAGGGCTGACTGCCCATCAAATATATATCAAGTGGTTCAGGATTATCTAAAGAATAGAAAAATAATATATAGAGCTGGTAATAAAACTATATCAAAAGATCTGACTAGAGGTTGCCCACAGGGCTCCAATTCGGGGCCCTTGTTCTGGAACCTAGCGTTTGATAACTTCCTAAAGGTAGAAAAAGGAAAAGGAATCACAGAGGTAGCATATGCCGACGACACGTTTATCATCTTCGGCTCTGACTCTAGACGGCAAATAGAAGAAATGAGTAGTAGAATTCTTCAAAGTGTCACGGAAAAGGGTAAACAGCTAAAGCTCAGTTTCAACCCTAAGAAATCTAATGCGATTATCTTCACGAAAGGCACAACACCAAACCTTTATAAACGCACACCAACTATTAAAATGGAAGGACAGAACATCAAAGTCACTAAACAGCTAAATTATCTGGGAGTTGTATTGGATCATAGGCTGTTGTGGCTTCCACACGCTACGGCAGTCAAAAATAAGTGTATAACATTGTTTAATGCACTGGCCAGAGTATCGAGATCAACATGGGGATTGAACTCAGGTGCAATCGAGACTATATATAAGAGCGTATTTATCCCAAGAATCACTTATGCCGCGGGAGTTTGGTATCAAGCGGCAGAGAAAGGATGGATTAAGAAAAAGTTATTAAGTGCTCAAAGGTCAGCATTGATAAGGCTGTTAAAAGCGTATCGAACTACTTCAACAGAGGCGCTCCAGGTTATGGCAGGAGTCCCCCCAATTGATTGTATTATAAAAGAAAAAGGAATGCAGTATGAATGCAGGACAGGACTTCCAATAAACATTCAAGGAACCTGGTATACAAGGCAAGATACTGACTTAAAGCCTCAAGCAAACATAATGCCGAAAACATACGAAAGAATAAGTATTGAAATGGCAACAGAGGATGAGGTAGCGGAGGAAGAGATATTTACAGATGGTTCAAAATTAGATAATAAAGTGGGTGCGTCCTACTTAGTAGTAAAAGATGGTAGAGAAATAGACTACGGTCAATATCGACTGGACGATAGATGTTCAGTTTATCAAGCCGAACTATATGCGATCTTAATGGGTATCAAATGGTGCATTTCCAACAATAGTACTAGTCAAAGGATAATCAATACAGACAGCAGAGCAGCGATACAGACACTGAGGCAATATCACGATAATAGCCAGATGGCAATAGACATTAAACAGTTAATAAGCAGGCATGATATTAAAGTTAAAGTTCGTTGAGTCAAGGCCCACGTAGGCATAAAGGGTAACGAAAGGGCTGATGCCCTGGCTAAAGAAGCTACACACAGAGAACTTATTTCCTATGGCAAAGTACCAATGTCTTATATTAAACGTATGTTAAGACAGCAGTCGTATGAAAACTGGCAGGAACGCTGGAGTTATAGTGAAAAGGGTAGGCATACCTTTTGGATCCTACCAAACGTAGAGGAAAGAGTACGAGAACTTAAATGGCTTCCGATGAATAACATCAGTTCGCAACTTCTTTCTGGACATTGTAACACAAATGAATATTTACATAGAATAGGAAAAGCTCAAGATAGTAATTGTGACTGTGGCGGAGGAATACAAGATCTTCAGCATCTCTGGTATAGCTGTGTGAAGTTTGAGTGTGAGAGATTGCAATTAAATCTTCTGGCAAGGAATGACACGAATGTTACTGATATCGATATGTACATGATGATACGTAAAAAAGAATTATGTAATTCAGTAATGTCATACACAAAAATGATATTGTCGGGAGGAAGGGGGCGAGCTGCTCCCTTCCTTTGTAGCAAGTAGCTACAAGCATGTAGGGCGAAGCAGCCCATGCCAATAATGTAATCTATCTTTGTTATTTGTATAAAATCTAATTAATGTTAACAAAGTAAAAATTGAATAAAAGAAAGAGTTCCCTTGGTATGCGTAAAGCGGGACAAGGGTGACTGATCCCTGTAAAGGGAAATGATGACCACCAAATGAAAAAAAAGAATGAAAGCCATACGATCAAATTACAGAAATGCATAGCGTAACGTGACCCAGAGAAAAAGAAACCGCCGATTCTGCGATCACGTTTCGCGAGCGACTTCAAATGTCATACCTCTTGGGCTGTCAGCTGTGTCCTTTCGAAAAAGGTGTTGTGGGTGCAAGACAGGGAACCAGTGCACATGGCCCTGAAGACGGTGCCGCCAGTCCGCCTCCTCATCTTCTTTTTCTGCTGTACTTTTTCACAGCGGTAGACGAATCCGAACCTGTCAGATGGAGCCGGTTCCTTCCGCATAGTGCCTAAAGATTACGACAAAAATATCGAAAAACTAGTAAATTGAAATATTGGCAGTTAAGGTTTACCAATACTACTACTATTAACCCACGGGTCAAATATCGAAACAGGATAGCGGTTACTGTTATCCTTGGTTTCAAAATGGCCATACTTCCGATGGTTTGTGCTCCAGACGGATAAAAATGTAGCTAATGTAATGAAAACGAAACGAACCTAACCGAAGCGACGCCATTTTCGAACCATTAGTAGAATTAACCTAGATAGCTGCAGATAGCACTCGTGTAAACACGGGAATCGAGAAAAGGCTTACCTCCGCACTTAGGACATGGCGGAAAGAAACCAGTTAGGTCCGGATGAGGCACGAGCCCCACAAGATGGCAAAACGTTTGTGCAGCCTCTTCGGTGGGGAGATAGCGAAGAAAACTGTAAGATGTTATATTATTGAATATTGTGGAGGGATCCATAACGGGAGACGCCGAAATATCACACGTAAACGGCATGTTTCAATTTTAGCGTTTAACAAATACTGAGTGCGAGGATATGAAAGAGAGTACGGCTTATATAACCGCTGAAAACCGCTACGAATGTCACGTGACCCGCGGTCGCCACCCCATTGGCCCGCGGAGCCTCGGGAGACGGGTCCGAGTGTCACGTGACCGCGCGCCCCATTGGCCCGCGGAGCGCTGCATCTCTATGGCTGAGAACGACTACGTGATTTGGCTGTCATGCGCAGTGCTGTCCTTGGGCTCGTTTGTCTCAAATATGAGTTCCGAAATGTTTCTGGTAAGCGGACGTGCTGGACTAGTGGACAAAGGCTTGGACTACAGGCAACATAGACCCGGGTTCGCAGCCCGGCCAAGGTAAGACTAATAAATAATAATGTATAGTTATATTTACAGGCAATACATGGTGACTACGGATGACTTCAGGCGGGTGACGTGGACTGCGGGCATGGGCGTAGCGAGAGGGGGGCCTGGGTGGGCACGGCCCCTCCCAGGGAACCTGGTGCCCTCCCCAGGAAATCACAGCCGAAAAAGTGTTAAGTCGATTTGTAAAAACCTAAAGCTAAAATAAAAGTTTTAAATACTAAAAAAAGGTGAACGGCTTGCTCGGTACCCAATAATGAACAAATAATTTGAAATAATTCAATTTTGTGTCAGGTTGGCCTCCACTAGGCCCCCCATAACAAAACTCTGGCTACGCCCATGACTGCGGGCCGGCGCGGAAGGGACAGACGGCAACGGCGAAGGCAGAGCTGGGAAGCGCGAGGAGAGAGAGACCTAAGGAAGGTGATTGCGAGAGCTTGTTAAAATTTTTTTTCGCTCGCGCTAGACTGCCTTTTGACCACGATGTCACGTGACCGGCTATGACGTAGGCAAAACTTCAGGGGCTTATATCTCGCGAAGGGTCGCGCGTAAGGGTATGGCTCCTTTGACTTTATTGTTCGTACGGGGGAGGGCTATCCTTTGGAGGGGTGGCTACCCCTCATTCGGAGGGTAAATCTTACGATTTTTCATCGTCAAATGTGCGTTTCTTTATCGTAAATTTTGTTAATTTCGAATTAATAACCGATTATTCTTTTTATTATTATTTAGTTTTGATGATTATAGTAGCTGTATACACCGCAGTTGGTTATGGAAATAATTTTGTCTGCACTTTCACATCGATCGTCTATCTCATTTATGCTTCGTAAGTTTTAATTGTAGAGTATTTACTTTCTCGAATTTCGTAGTTTCTTACGTAACAGAATATTTAAATGCAGAATGAATGCGATTCAAAGAGGAACACTACGAGATACAAAAATTTTACTGAGAAATTGGGTGATATTTGGATTAATTTATCTGTTTGAAAATTTATTTGATGCCTTAATGACTTGGATTCCTTATTATTGGTTGATGAAGGTAAACATCACTCTAAATTTTTTATATACAGAGGGGCCATTATTAAAGTTTTTATATTCAGAGCAGTCTGTAGCTGTAACCAATAAGTGAATTGATGCCAAAATTTGTATACCGACTAAGCAAAAGATTCGGAAAAGGATTTTTAAAAATGCTCAAAAATTTCAGCTCTGGGACGCTTTGGCATACGGTTTATCACGGAAACATTGCAACATCGGCAGACAAAGAATTGTATTACACTGTAAGTTAAAAACATCCCTGGAAAACATTTACGATCAGTTGTAGAACATACTGTTCATCGCATTCAAATTTTATATTTGAAGAACGCGACACACATTGAGTAACATTACTGACAGCAGTAAATAGCCTCTGCAGATGGCATGTCCCTTACCTTACGGAACAAATGAATGCATTTTTGGTTGTTTTTAGTGTATTTTTCCTTTAATGTGCCCCCAACGAAAATTTTNAAAAGACGAATCGACGAGATTTGAATATCGTGTAACTCCGGGTTCGCGTAAGTCGAGGTATTACTGTATTTTAATAATTAAGAACTAGGATGAATTGAAGTTCACGATCACGATTAAAACAAAGGAATTAACACCACTTAGACAAAATTTAAAGCGATTTATACCAAAGTTAGATACTTAATTCTCCTAACTTTAATTACTTTTGTAATTTCTGTTTTTATTGGCATGTTTTCATTCATTCCTTATTATCAATTGAAAGAAACAAGCAGCTCTTCGCTTGCCATTCGTCATTTGCAGACGAACGACAACCCAGAACTCACCACGTGGAGGTGGCTGCTTCAGAGTTCCACCAAGAGTTGGAAAGAATGCAACTTTATAAGCGACTGACATCACTTGTCCAGTTTCATTCGTCCTAACTCACACAATGAAAATATTTATAATTTCCTCTGAATACTTCAAATTAAAGTATTCGAAACTCACCGTATCGTTACTATCTAAACTAATGGATACAATACTACTACAACTAATAATAATGATAGAAAGAAAGCCACTAACGTGCCAGGTCGTAATAAAACGCACGTTAGGGCCACAAAATTTACTTCAAATAAATACCGAACCTCAATAAACAAAAAATTCTCGCCCTGCGCGAAATTTAATATTACGGGAAACAGAAAGCCCGCATCTTTATAGGCCCGCGGGAGTAAAGAGGCCGACGAGAGATGGAGAGTCTACCGAGTGTCCCGCATGTTTAAGGCCCGCTCGGGTGAAAACAGAAGACGCCGAGGAAATGCGGAGAAGGCTCTCTGTGTCCTGAATCATTAAGGCTTGCTTGGGTGAAGACAGGAGATGCTGACGGGGCGAAGAGAATTCTCTGTGCCACGTTTAGTTAAGGCCAGTGTTGCCGTTCCTAGTACATTTGTACTTTTCTGGTACATTTTGCCCTTTCCAGTAAATTGAAAGTACATTTAGATTTTTAGTACATTTTCATTTCATTATATTATTTCAAGTACCATTTACGGTACAAAATAATATTTCACGCCTTAACGAAAAAATGAGTTTAATAAAGTCTCACTAGTATCACTGCTTGCTAATTTAAATTATCCAATCACAACATAGATAGTTGCACGGTCTTGACTCAGTGGTCTTCTTTCACACTTTCACGTGGTCCAAACAATTCAACTCCGTCAAACAAAAATAATGGACAGGTAAGGAAATCAATGATTTTAAACTTTTGTC